GGAGAGTGATCAAAAAGAGTCTTGCTAGGATGCTCAACTCTAATAGAATTAAAAGAATTAAGCCAACATTCTTTAAACAACACCTGATCCAACCTTTGCCATATATGATCATAGTTCCAAGTGAATTTATTACCATAAAAGCCAATATCAAATAAATTACATTCCATAATCATGTTAAAATCCTCCATAGATTGGTAGATAGGAGAAGAGCACCCTATACATTCAGAAGGATTATAGATAGTATTAAAATCATCTCCAACAAGCCAAGGCAAGTTACAAATACTATAAAAGTTGATAAGTTGCTCACATAACACTTTCCTAGTATAACGAGAAGAAGCAACATAAACAAAAGAGGCACAATAATGTAAATTTAAAACCTCAACATTAAAATGCATAGCTTCAGTGAAATCTCCAATAAAATCTATATGAACCCGATCCTTCTATAACACCCAAATATTATTTGCCACATTCAACTAGCATATTTGCAACCCAAAAATTTATCAGTACCAAGTATTTTAGTAGAGGAAATAAAAGGTTCAAGTAAAACAAGAATAGAAACATTACAAATGTGGCATAAATTCTTAACTCTTAACTTAGAAGAGGGACACCAAATGCCCCTAACATTCCAAATAATTGAATTAAACATAAAAAATAGGGGCTAATTACTAGTATGCGATCAGATGGTTCTAGGAGATTGTAAAATGATATTCTTGTTTTTCCTCCCTCTCCTACAATAAAACTTGATGTAACTAGTGTCATTATCATCTTTAGCAAAACATTTATCCATAATAACCATATCCTCATTATCAGTAAAGGAATTACTATGATATTGGGTATTTAAGGGAAGCTTCCTTTCATTGAGCATACTGCTTGCTTTATTTCTTTAGGCAGTTCACCCTCTTTGAAGAATATTCCCTCTTCCACATAAATTTTACTACTCAATTCACTTCCAACATTAGCGTCCACCAAATTGATACAGCCATCCTCCTGGTCATTTAGATGATATTGAGAAGGCAACTTATTAGTACAATTAACATTTAATAACACATCCTCCATATCAAGCAAGTTTTTGTCAATAACAATGGCATAGTAGAAGAAGGAATAATATTTAGATTAGTAGTGATAGCAAACATTTTTTCATCCATATTTTGAGAGCCATAAGCTAAACAAGAGAAAGGGTTGAGTATTTCTTCCTGATCAATAACAAGTTCAATAATATTAGTGGAATGCGGTTCATTATGAGGTATGACGAGTTGTATAGATTCCTCAATATTATCCTGCACTTTAGGATTATTTCCCTCAATAACATAAGGAATCACGATATCATGATTAACTGAGGGAACATCCTTTATAGTGGATAGTTTGGATGAATCTTCTCCTTCTGAAGATGTGGATGTAGCCTGTAACACTCATTTAAACCATGACCATGCATCTTACAATGAGGGGAAAAAGGGTAAATTTCCAAATTCAACTTTTTTGAAATAACCATTGAATTCTAAACTAAGCCAAATCTCATTTGGATACTTTTTAGAAATATCCAGCTCAACTAAAATATAGGCCATAGAAGGACAAGATATAGATGTTGTAGCTTTATCCATCTTAAAGGGCCAACCAAAAATGGAAGCCAAGCCAAATAAAATTTGAGAGTAAAAAAAATTAAGTCTCAAACTTAGGAATTAGATCCACTCAAGAATAATAGGAGATTCCTCATGGAAATCAAAATTTGGTGTCCATTTTAGTAATCTCATTTGAAAAGCTTGAATTTAGTAGGATCTCCTTGAAAAAATATGACTATAGTCCAAATCATTACTTAGTTGAATCATAATATGTCTCAGATCTAACAATCCAATATGAAAAGATCCTGATAATTTTAGATTAACAAAGAACTTATGAATGACATCCAGATTCAGACGCCTAAGGAGAAACTTTCCAACCTAAGTAAGAACAAAGGGGGTGGCAACTTACAACACAACAGAATCATCAAACATCAAAGCCAGACATCCTTTAAATGTGGTTTGAACAATTTGAAGCTTAGTAGAAGAAGAGGAAGAACTGGCTAAAACTTACTTAAAAGATTAAAACTTGCCATTAGGAAATGAAGCAATCAGAGGGATAGATGATGAAGGAGTAGTCATCTCCCAAATAAAAAAACCCAAAAAAAAAATCAAAATTAAATGTAAACCTAACCAGCAGAAAACAAAGGAACAAAAAAGGTGAAAAAACCAAGGAAATTATGCCAGGAGCGGGGAGAGAGGAGCTTAAGAGAAGGAACCTTAAATCACATCAAAATTGCCAGAGAGCACGAGAGCGTAACAGTTAGAAAATTTCCTTAAAAGATTGAGACTTTCCATTAGGAAATGAAGCAAACAGATGGATAGATGATGATGGAGTGGTCATCTAGCAATTTCTCCCTCAATTCTGTATAACATTGCTCTGTATTATGGCAAGTATCTTTAGGTTATTCATAAATTAATAATTAAATTTATGTCCTAAAACTATGTATTAATTAATTGATTATAAATCAGTAACCACTTAATGATTAATTTGATGGCTAAAAAATCAGATAATAAGAACCTAATCTTATAACTTTAACCTCTCACCTGAAAGTTTGTTAGGGATATTAGGCCCTATATGAATTGGCCCAAGGCTAAGTAAGAGAAAGGTGAATTGGAAAACATTAAAACCAAAGATAAAACTCGTACCAAAATCACCACAAACAAAGTGCGGAAGAAATAATGCGGAAGCAAGAATAAGAAAAGAACACACCGGATTTATAGTGGTTCGGTCAAACCTTGACCTACGTCCACTCCTTGGAGGCACCCTCCAAGTATTGCACTAACTAAGTGTCTCTCCATTAGCTCCCACAGCTAGGCAGAGAAGCCCTTACAAAATCACTTCCACCTTCCCTGGTGCGGCGGAGTCGCCGGGTCCTTTGACACCAAGGAGATCTTCTTCTTTGGTGAACTAAAACAATAAAAAATCAATCACAAACGAAACCGATGTCAACATTCAAAATTATTCATTCAATGGTAATTATATTTCTTTGACTTAATTTATTGTAATTATCAAATAATAAAAAATATTACAATTAAAGGAATTCCAATTACTGTTTTTAAAGAGCTTTAGGTATTATCTTAGTGCTCCACTAATGCATGACTTATTTTGGCCCATAATCAAATAATCATAACATAAATCTTCCTTTACATAGTGAAATAAATACTTACTATTATTATTGATTATTTATTATAATATAATAGTTAAGAAAAATAATGCAATAAACGTCCTAAAATTTCATAAGCCTATTGGATATAACAAAAATAAAAAAAAAATTACATTGAATCGTGAAAGATTGACTTAAAGCTACAATGCTCTTAGTCTTAGAATAAGACAATGCTCTTAGTCTTACAATAAGGATTGTGATATTGTCACCCACTAAGGCTACAAAATCAATTTAGCACAGCTTTCGTAGCTTCAACTGTTTTAATACAAGTAAAAGATGATAATGGTTTTATGTATTATCACATTGAAGGTTGCTTCTCACTTTTAAAACCATGAGCATGTTCATTTAAAACATTGGTTAGGCTATACGACAAAGAAATCCGGAAACAATATTTGCAACTTCTTTGACGTCCGGACACAATAATCACTCCTTTGTTAGCCACAGATTTTTCACCATCTTCTTGTTTCGCTTTTCTACCACAGTTGTCATGTGCTCCCGCTTGGCCATTTGACATACAAACATCAAGCAAAATTCCCTTCTCTTGTAGATCCACATTCTTATTATTATGTTTTGTTATGCATTCCATGGTTTATTCTAACTGAATCATGAAGAATTGATAAAGGTATTCAAACAGTTTCCAGCCAGCATGCCAAAATCACCTTTTGCATAGTATCTTATTTGTTCCTCCCAGTTCTCTTTGTTATAGATTTTTTTTGTCATTGTTTACTTTGTTATAGATTTTTTTTGTCATTGTTTACTTTGTTAGAGATAAGCAAGGGGAAAAGGTTAAATTAGGGGTAACTAAAATTCTGTTATTTTGCTATCTGACTCAGTTATAAGTTTTCAGTTTGTGAAAGCTACAGTTAAGTTACATTAAATCATGGAATGAAAAAGTAACGTGCAGGAACATTGTTCTTCAGGAAACATCATAAGGGATCTATAGTACTTGCTTAGGCCTCATTTGTTTGGACTTAATTATGCCATTTCCAGTTTGAATAGCCGAAAACAGTTACAGCTATCTGTTTGTTAACACAACTTCACTAAAATTTGTTTTCGTAACTGAAAAGACCAAAAATTGCTGCTTACCCCATCTATTACCTCTGTTTAGACACGAAAAAGTCAATTTCAACCTTCCGATCTCTTCTTCAACCTTCCGATCTCTTCGACAAATTACATATAATAAACCAAACAATATTTGCAACTTCTTCAAACGTACACACAAATAATAAATACAATAATCAAAATACTACAACAACATCTTAAAAAAGAAAAAAAATAAATAAACATTCACATTTTACAATTTCTACAGGACTAAAAAAGTCTATGTTAATTACATAAAAAAATAAAGAAACAAACTAAACATAAATTAAAAATACCTGCTCTTCTTCTAAAAACCGAGAGCTTCAGATGAAATAAGGTGTGTCTTCACTCCTCAACTCAAGCGTTATTTATAGCCTCTCCGCTCGTCTCCCCAACCACCCAAATTCATATCCCTCAATTATTTCCACACCAAGAATGCACGCAATTGACGGATCTGGTCGGGCTTTACGACAAAGAAATCCGGAAATCCCTGGGATGTTGACAGCTGGCCGATAAGAGATAACTGGGAGATAAGGAGGAAGCAGATGTGTAGAATGCGCCGAATATTATAGCGTATTATAAAGAATGCGCTAAACAACACCGCGCATTCTTTGAATGCGCCAATCCGTTTGGCATATTCGCTGCTTTTTAAATTTTATTCCTAAAACGCTGTTTTTGCTTAATTTCAAAACAAATGCGCTCCTTCCTAAAAAATGGCCTTTACAAAATTTGACAAAAAAAGTATACAATATAACATTTCTTTTACAAAAATTGGGACAAAAAAAGTATCGTTACTACATCCCCAATTACAAGCTTTTATTGAAACAAACAATCAAAATAACTAAATAAGTTCACCACAACCCCACAGAACCTAAAGCAAATTTAATTTAGGGATAAAAAGAGCCGACGTTTTTTTATCCTTTTTGGTATTTTACAAGAGGTAGACTGGAGCAAGTTTGTTGTGCAAGATATCTATTAATTTTAGCAGTTTAAATAATGCAGTCATTTCAGCTCCCCAATAAGCACACGAGAGGCTTGCTTGATAGCCCTGGCAACTCTCCACACCTCATGTTGCACCAAACTCCAAGATTTTGAAGTATTCAAATTCTTGGCAGTCTCAAGGGCATCATCTATGCCTGGAAATGATTTTGATCCATAGTCATCATATTGTGATGGTCCATATATCTGGGAAAATTAAGCTGATTATAAGAAGATATTTAATGGAATTCAGATAAACTTTGAAAAGGGAAACATAATTAGGATACCAGATGCTTGTACCAGGGCCTTTCATGAAGGCCTTCTCTATTAGTAAATGCCCTCTCCGTCATCATCAACCTGTCATTAAGCTCTCTCACTTTAATTGGGTCTTTTTTCCATGTTAACAGCCAATTCTTCCCTTCAAGTTCCTGCAACTATGAACTCTTCAGTTTTGGAATAAACTTTCATTCAAACCCAATTTACTGTCAGTGGAAAACCACCTACGAAACAATTGCGATACCTTTCTTTCACTATTTATTATAGCTGCCGCCTTCTTTAGCTTTTCTATAGACTGGTATATAGGAGCGAAACTCACTGGCCTTCCCAGCACCTCCTTTTCGAAAAGCTCTGTACTTTGCTGATTAATAAATCAAGGGAATTAAACTCATAATGATACAGACATTTTTTAAATAAATAAACAAATGCAAGTATATGCTGTTGCTCTGAACTCGAGCACTTTTAACTAGCAAAAACTTGCTTACATTATGGGCATTCAGGTTTCTTTTGGAACAGCATTTTACTAATTTCTAAAGTAATTTTTAGTGCAAAATTTTTTAATTTTAAAATTTTTTTGTATATCAACTTGAGTCATGAAGATTTATGTTACTGGAATGTATGAATATGTAGACATTTCCAAGAGATTAGGTGTACCTGGAGCTCAGAAGCATACGACATATAATCAAAAGGCAAGAACTCCTCATCTGCCAACTTCAAAGCAACCAGTCCCCAAATGCTTGCAGCTATAAAAAAGAAAAAAAAAATGGTAAATTAAGTATAAAGATAGTTGCGTCATACAGAAGACCAATAATCGTTGCTAGCATATTAATAAGTGACAAGCAAACTGTTATCATGCAATCTTGAAAAAACAGAGATTCGTGTCCCTAACAATATCTGCATAATATTTTTCATACTTGACTATACATAACAAAAAGCATAAACAAGTAGCCATCTTCACAGTAAATATAAAATATGCATTCATTTTGTGTTAATTGTTAATCTTAAAAATAATATTCATCTTAATCAGTTTTTTGGCAAAGGATTTGAACCTTTATCGGAGTATAGAAAATGCTAGTAATCAATAAAGATGAGATGGGTGAAATGTATGTGTTTGCAAGAGTGGCAACTGAAAGTTCAAAATTAGCTATGATACTAATTGATAGTACTTGAGGCATATCAAGAGAAGAGGTGAATTAATGGTTTTAAAAAAAAATTACTTAAAAATCCTTTGTTTAAAAATAAATCTTGAAATCTACAGAAGCAAATAAACAAATGAAATTGAACACCGCAAAACACGACTAAAAGCAAGTCAATTTTTTTTTTCTTTTTCAAAACCAAGATCAAACCAAAAATAATAATCACCACGACCCTCTTCCACAAATATGATCATAATCAAACCAAAGTGCAGTAAAATAAATTGCAAGGAAAAGTAAAGTGCGGTAAGTAAGAAAATGCAAACTGAGAATTATAGTGGTTCGGTTAACTTTATCTACATCCACTCCCCAAAGGTCCTTTGGGAATTGCACTAAACAGTGACTCTCTTTCAACACATAGCTAGGCAGAGAAGCTCTTCTCCTTTAGTAAAGGCGGAGAATCACCCTTACAGACTCTTCACACCTGAAGAATCTCCTTTTCTCGCCTCAAAGGCCCAGCAGAGCTACCAACCCTCCTTTCTCCTAGAAGCTCGGAGGAGATGCTGATCACTCCTTTTGCCTCTAAGCCCAGCGGATATGCTGATTGTTGACCTCATTTTTATTTTTATTTAGCCTCGAGCGCATTTGATCGAGTTTAGCGGGCCTTGTCGGACTCGATTCAACTCGGATCCGTGTTGATTTGAGTTTGTTTTATTTTATTGAATTAATTTTGGTTTAGTAAAGGCAAGCTCAAGTCGACCCGGATCGAACCAAACCAGACCCAAATTAACCCAATATGAGTCAAATCAAATTTAATTTGGACTCATATCTAGCCCGAATCAGTCTGATCAAATCCCAATAAATTAATTTGACTTTTCTCGGCATTTGAAATTCTTCCTTAAACCGAGGAATTTGATCCAATGGTCCCGATTTCTTAAAAGCCCGAAACCTGTCGTGGCCGCAGTGCCTCAGTCGCGTGATCCTCTGATTTTAGAAGTAATACAGGCGTTGATTAGCGGGAGGCAGCATGACAGAACTTGATTCAGTGTATAGGGGCGGGATTGAGAAGGCAGAACTGCGGAGTAATCTCCGAGGCTTGCAACTCTCACGGGCATGACTCCCTCTCGGCCAAGGGGACGAACTTCCGGCTCTCTCGGACTGGCGACCTTCTCTTCTCTTTGGGGATCTCTCCCCTGAGTCCTCCTAAGAGGCATTCTTCTCTACTCGCCTCTCCAGAGGGCAAGAGGACCGGACCCCCTTCCTTTCTCCGGAACTCCCTCTCCTTTCTTGTGCGACGGACAGGACCCGAAGCTCTCGCTCTCCCTCCTCCCTCGGGTTCGCACAACACCAGGAAGCCCCAAGCGTCTCCCCCTCTTCTTCCTTCAGTTCGTAAACCCCAGCCGGGCCGAATCCCCTCTCCATCTCTCTGGTGTTCGCATAAGACAGGAGGAGGCGGAAATCTCTCCTCCATCTTCCCCTTCTCCATTATTCGAAGAAGCCCAAAACGGACCCAGTCCGATCCTGAGCCTCTGTTGGTTCCTAACTCCGACCAGACCTCACACCCGAAGTCCTCTCACGTACAGGTATTTCTTCATCTTCCTCTTGTCTTCTCTTATTTGCACATAACAACTTGCCTCTTCTTGTATAAGCTTTCTCCTCTCTACTATAGTCACTTATGAGGTCTGCAGCCTATCACATCTCCTCACGACCTAGCATTCCTCTTCGTTTCCCGTAAAGCCCTTCATCCGTTATTCTATAGTATTTGCTAGGAGAGCTCTCAAGCCAATCGGCTCTGTCTGCTTACGAACTGGACTTCCTTTCTTCCTTCTTGACATTAAATCTCTTAATCGAATATCATCTGCTGCCATTGTCAAAAATTTCATTTAAGGATATCCGATTGTATGCTTGACTTTGAGGCAAAATTTTAAGCATATTTTCTTTATATCATTTAATTCATGTATATCGCTATTTATAACTAGCAATTATTACATGTACCTGATCCAATATCCATGTGTTAAATCTTCCATATATATATCATGTAGCATTTAATGGGATCTGAACCATGTTGAGGTAGTCATGATGGCATTCATTTATTTATTCTTTCTTTTGGATATCTCTCATATGCTTTAATATGAAATCTTTGTTGTAAACTTACAAGTTAGACTTTGACATTGAGTGAAAATTATAAGAAGGCTAATAAGTAAAATTCAAACCTGTTGCAGGAATCAAATTTGTCATATTGTTGTTTGATAAAATCTATTAAATTCTTGAACCAATCCAGATGCAAGGAGTAAAAAATAAAAAAAAAACAAGGTTTATATAATTTTAAAAAAAAGTACTTTTTTTATTTATTTACCTTTCTTTTGAAGGGATTAAATTTAGATATGAAAGAGAACGACATGCATTCCAAATTTATATTGAATTCTTATACAACGGATACAATTTTGTTAAAAGTATATGAACAAGTACAATCAAATATTAAACTCATGTATTGCTTCATGTGTAAGGATTTTATTTGGTTGATGTGTGCAAATAAAAAAAAACACTTGTTGTTCTCTAATTCAATGTTTTTTTTGTAAATTGTTATTAAGATTGCTTAGAAAGCATGGTGTTTGTGGAAATGCTTATTGAGAAATAACACAAGCTTGAGTTGTTATGTTCTAATAATATTTTGTTTGTACTTCTAAATCATTCATGAATTTGGGTAAAGTGGAGAGTTTGTTCATTCATATAAGTGGAAGCTATGTACAAAGAATTTATACAATTTGGTTCATATAGATTTTATGGATGGTTGGAGAAAGCAAAATGGGAAAGCATGTTCCAAATTTATTTTTTAAATGAAGTTGGGCGATTTTACCTCATATGAATAGAAACTCTTATGCAATGAGTTTGTTATTGTTGTTCTTCTCTAAATTCTCATTATAAAATCTGTTGGAAGACCATATTAAGTTTGGTTATGAAAATAGTGACGTTGCTTGTTGTCGGTCAGCATTCTCTTTCTTGAAGGGTGAAAATATATTGCATTTCTCTTGTTGTGTTGGGTTCTAGTTGTTAGGGATTGATGAAAACGTTTATGAAGGTATATTGCATTTATTTTAAGAATTTGATTTCGCAACATTTGGAAATTCTGGCTTGAACATTCTTTTGTATATGGGTATAATATATCCCTTGTTTCATTGTAGTATGGGAGTTATTGGAAAGATTAATACGTATGTCTGAGTAAAGCACGATGCAAAGCTTATAATTGGTTTGAATCCTGCTTTCTTTGAGTTGTATTGAGTATGGGTATTGGGTTGATGAAATAAGTGAATGAGCCTGCTATTCACTGTTACAAGTTGGGTCTAATATCAAATATGCTATAAAAGAGAAATTTTAAAGTACAATGCCTTTGTTAGCAAACATATGTTGTCTCTTTATGCATCTTTTGAGGTCAAACGACAAGCCTTTGTAGACTTTACATAAAGTTGTTTTGAGGTATTTGGAAGTGAATTTGAGGTCTTTGCAAAATCCTATTATATGCATTTATGTCTTTTGCGATGGAATTTATATTTGACATTTTGAGATGTATCATGTTGTGTTTTGCGAGAAAGGGATTGAAATACTTCTTTGCATTTATATGGAGAAGTTAGTAATTATTTGGGGATATTTTGTGAATGATGGAATAAAAGAGAAGTGTATGTGTTGGAAGACTTTCTTTGAAGTTGTCAGAATAGGGTTCATATGAGCCGTGCTTCATTATCTTGCTTAGTCTTGTGTGGTGATTGGAGAAATAAAAATGGAAACCATATTTTGCATCAGGTAGAAGTCGTTGGAAAGTGATTCATATTATGATTGGGGTCTCGCTTCTAACATTTTAGGAAAGTGAATTAGCTCCAAAGCTTCTCTCTTCTTATTTGTATTTGGCTCAAGTTGGATTCAAATGAAATGGTGAGATTTCCTTGTGCTCTTTTGGATATTTAGTGACATGCAACATAGAGAATAAAGAATTCGCTAAGGGGTCTTTTGAATCATTTTATGACTTAAAGGCTTTCATGATTTATCTTACATCAGAAAATTCCATGATATGATTTGTGCTGGAAAATTTTGTGAATTGTCTCATATTTAAAAGATGGATGGCTTTGCTTTATATTTGAAAGACATGATTTATTTTGTGTTGAAAAGAATTTTGATGTATCTTATGTTTGAAAGAGCTATGATTTATTTTATGATTGGAAAGATACCATGATTTGTTTTGTGTTGGAAAATTGTGATTCTTGTATTTCTTCTTGTTGGAAAGATTTATGAGTTGTTTTTGTGATGGGTTTTATGAAGGTTTTATGAGGTTTTAATGGTTTTACTCCACGCCAAAAGAGAAAGCACTTGGTTGTTTTGCTTGTATCGGAAATAGTTTTGGTGGATGATTTGTGCAAGGTTTTATGTGTCATTTTACTTAGAAGCTTTCATAAGTCATTTTGGGATTTATAATTTTATAATTAGCATTGTGTAGCAAGGTCTTTTATGTCTTTTGGAATAAAATGACATTTAGTGTGAGGATTGTCTTTCTCTTGCTCGTATTTGCTTCCGAAGTTGAGTTTTGGATAAATGTGGAATGAAGGCTTATTTTGAGTTTTGGTTTTCGGGAACTTATTCCCATTTGTCACTTTGAGCTTTA